GAAAGGGGAAAAGGGCCCTGACGTCTTTTTGGAGTTGAGCAGGTATTTAGTGAAGGGATTCAGGGAAACCGGTTATTTTCATATAGTCGGACTTGAGTCCTGGAAATGGGAAGTACAATGCCTGCACTTTAAAGGGGGGTTTTGGATATTGGCAGTTTGGAGGGATATGTTGTGTATCTCTATACGTTATGCTTCTAAACTGTTGTATTCTGAGCACCTCTGCAAAAGCAGTGATAATGTGTGAGTGTGGTGAAAGTGTTGAATGATGATGAAAGTATTTTCTTTTTTGGGATTTTCTTTCTTTTTTTTTTTGGGTCACCCTGCCTCGGTGGGAGACGGCCGACTTGTTGAAAAAAAAAAAAAAAAAAAAAAAAAAAAAAAAAAAAAAAACTGTATGTGTAGTGTGACGTAAATGCAAGTAGAAGTAGCAAGACATACCTGAAATCTTGCATGTTTATGAGACAGACAAAAGACACCAGCAATCCTACCATCATGTAAAACAATTACATACAGGCTTTCGTTGTACACTCACTTGGCAGGACGGTAGTACCTCCCTGGGTGGTTGCTCTTTACCAACCTACTACCTAGACCCAATAGGCTTATTCCCCCATATTTCTTAGTCTTTTGTCCCCTTCCTTGTACAAAAGGAACTATGTCTATGAATTCCTAGGTACTTTCCTCTAGGAAGGCTCTGTAAATATATTTAATAAGACTTGGTGATTATTATTGAGTACAGTGGACCCCGGTTAACGATATTTTTTCACTCCAGAAGTATGTTCAGGTGCCAGTACTGACCGAATTGTTCCCATAAGAAATGTGAAGTAGATTTAGTCCATTTCAGACCCCAAACATACACGTACAAATGCACTTACATAAATACACTTACATAATTGGTCACATTCGGAGGTAATCGTTATACGGGGGTCCACTGTATTATTGTTATCATTACTAATATGGCGTCTCGAAACATAACACACTTACTGATTTTAATGTGTACCTGCACGCCAGCACAGTGTGTAAGTTTATTTAGGTACAGGTATACATAAGTATATACATAAGTACAGGTATATACGGCAGTCTCCCACCGAGGCAGGGTGACCCAAAAAAAGAAAGAAAATCCCCAAAAAGAAAATACTTTCATCATCATTCAACACTTTCACCACACTCACACATTATCACTGTTTTTGCAGAGGTGCTCAGAATACAACAGTTTAGAAGCATACACATTAAAGATACACAACATATCCCTCCAAACTGCCAATATCCCAAAACCCCTCCTTTAACCCTTTCAGGGTCTGTCCCGTAGATCTACGGCTTTACGTTCAGGTCCAAACCGTAGATCTACGCCATGAGCTCGCTCACTCTGATAAACTGTGTGGTACATCTGGGCCTAGATATGAGAGAATACATCTATGTGGTATGTGTGCACCACATAAAACAAATCCTGCAGCATATCTGTGATAATGAGAGAGAAAAAAACTGAGACAATGATTTTCGATTAAAACAGCAACTTTGCAGTGTTTTTTCATGTGTTTTTTATAGTTGTATTTGCGATTTCTTGGTCTCATTTGATAGAATGGAAGACATATTACAAAAATAGAGATGATTTTGATTGGTTTTAGCACAGGAAATGGCTTGAAACTGAGCTCAAAGTAGCGGAAATGTTAAATTTTTGCAGATGTTCGAGAGTAAACAAACGACCTCACACGTCTAATACACACCAGCTGGTGGGTCTAATATACATTCACAAATGTGGTGATGATATTTATACAATTATTACAATATTGCGTAACAGTAAATCTTCTATTTTTTGGTGTGAATAAAAATTCATTATGTGAATAAAAAATCAAAATGGAATTTATTTGTAAAGCCTCAAAACATAACTAATGAACAGAGGAAATGTTAGTTTAGTGCCAGGAATATCTACATTGTTTATTCTGGACCCTATTTTGAAATTGGAATATTTTGAACTTTGTGTTAAATTAGCCAAATTACCAATTTCCGATCACTTTATTTTGTAGTTGAAACAGTTGACCTGGCAATTTTCTTGTGCTCAATCGATAGAATAGAAGTAATACTAGTGACATCGCTAAGAATTTGGTCGACTGGAATAATGTAATTGGCCTTAAATGGGAGTCGAAATCGGCAAAATCGCCGATTCGTAAATATCGCTGACACATCAAAATTCACGAGAGCATAATTTCGTCAATTTTCCATCAAATTTCATACTTTTTGTTTTATT